AATAAATCTAGGGAGGAAGGTAGGAAGGAGGGGGAGAGAAGGAGGGGGAGAAAAGGAGGGAGAGAGGAAGGGAGGTTGGTAGGTAGGTCACTTTCTCAGTAAGACCTACCTGGGTAATCCTATTTAAAATTTTAACTTGCTCCCATTCCCAGCATACATGATCCCTTTTACTGTATTTGATCCCCTTTACTGTCCTCTTTTTTTTTCTTTTATCCATAATATTATACTCTAACATAATAATTTACTTATTTAGAACACCCTAACATAAGAATTAACCATCTCCTTCTTTTTATTCACAGAAGTACTGCTGTAGTTTAAGTAATCAGTATCTCCCCACTACAACAGTATTTTTCAAACTGTAGACTGCTTCAGACCAGCTTTTTCTCCTATTTTGCAAATGAAAAATAAAATGGAAAAAATTTTATCAGACTGCTTTGCACACAGTAAGGGTATATTCTTTTGTGACATTTGCTATGACTACACACAGGCGCGCGCGCACACACACACTTCAATTACTGCATATTGAGCTGCGTGGCACACTGAAGACACTTATTTGTGAAAAGAATGAATGAATGAAAGTATATCATCATATACTGCTATGATTTCAATTACTAGCTATTTGTCATAATCCTGAGACACCATTTATTGAACAAGTATTTTGATGAATGCCATTTACTCATTTTTAAGAATAGGAAAAACAAAACTGACTAATTAATTTGTCAAAGGTTATATAGTTAGTAAGGCAAAGAGAGAGGATTCAAACCCGTTCTAACACCAAAACTCTCCCCATTCTCTACCAACTTCTGCAGCCAAGAAATTCTCCTTTTGTTGAAATTTGGTTTTGTTTTGTTTTCCAGTTCAGCTCCTTTCCACTTCAAGGCCTTAGTGTACCCAGTTTCTTCCATCTGGAATACTCTCCCACCCCCTACCCCACTCCCACTTAGAACCTTCAACCTAGCTGAAGCCTACTCATTCTTCTGCATGGAAAGTTTAAACACCACTTCCTAGAAAGTTTTCCCATACACTCCAAATTAGTTAGGTTCCCTCCATGATGCTCCACAGAATTCTTTTTCTCCATAGCACAAATCACATTTGTGGTACTCATTTGATATCATCTTTCCACCTAGACTACAAATTTCTTGTGAGTCAAGACCAGATCTACCAATACACAGGGATACAATATACCAGGAGGCCTAGTACTACACACTCAATTCACTGAAAAATAAATAAACAGTATCTGAGTCCTTAGTCCTCCCAGAATAAAAACTAATATATTACTTTCATAACCAAATGAGAGTACCGGGGCTTTAGGGGTGGTCCCTGGGTGGCTGAGATGGTGAAGCATCTGCCTTCAGCTCAGGTCATGATCCCAGGGTCCTGGGATGGCCCCAAATAGGGTTTCCTCCTCAACAGGGAGCCTGCTTCTCCCTCTCTCTCTACTATTCTCCCTGCTTGCGCTCTCTCGCTCTGTCAAATAAATAAATAACATCATTAAAAAAAAAAAAAGTACTTGGGCTTTAGGGTCCAACAGAACTGAATTAAAGATCTGCCCCAGGGGCGCCTGGGTGGTTTCATCAATTAAGCATTTGCCTTTGGCTCAGGTGGTGATCCCAGGGTCCTGGGTTGAGCCCTGTGTCAGATTCCCTGCTCAGCGGGAGCCTGCGTCTCCCTCTCCTCCCTGCTTGTGCTCTCTCTCACTCTGTCACTATCTCTCTTCCTCTCTCAAATAAATAAATAAAATCTTAAGAAAAAAAAAAAAAAAAGATCTGGCCCAGTTACTCATTAGGGAACACTGAGCAAGATACTTAACCTCTCTAAGCCTCATTCACAAAATAATCACAAATACCTTGCCATAAAGATTAACTATCCTCTTCATTCACAGTGCTATTACTACAATTTCAGTAATTATCATCTCCCCTCTTTTTTTAAGTTTATTTAAGCAATCTCCACACTCAACATGGGACGTTAACAACCCAGAGATCAAGAGCCACATGCTTTACTGACTCAGCCAGCCAGGCACCCCTATTTTACATCGCCTCTTGAGTAATGTTTTTCAAATTTCAGACTGATTCCAATCAGCTTCTCGTTTTTTAAATGGAAAAATACAGAATTGAAAACAATATATCAGAGTTCATGCACACACTAAGGGCATGCCGAAATACATACAGAATGCAACTACTGTTTATTTGGATGCAATATTACATGCACAACCTACTATGGGTCACAGTCAAAAAACTTGAAAAACACTGCTATACTACTTCTACAGATAAATTAATATTACTGTAATATTAAAATGAGCAGAACAGAGGCCGTGGTTTTATTCACCACTGTGTTCCTAGAACCTAAAACAGTGTCTAGTATGTAACAGCACATTAAATCTCTGTTGAAAAAGTGGAGTGACAAATCTGGTCGCAACTCAGCTTTTCAAATATACTAATCCTACAGTATTCCTCCTCATTGCTTTTTACAGGGCTCAATATATTTTTCATGTCCGAACCCTGGCTTACTCTATTCTCTTAGACTAACAAACTTTCCTTTTCTCAATTCACAAACCAATCAATGCCCTTCTACATTTCACTTTCTTATAAAATCGTATTAGAGGCCCAAGTCCACAAGCATGAAAGGAAACATGATAAATTATAATGTGACTACATATACACTAAAAAAATACAGTTCTACATCATACAGTCAACTTTTAGTTTAGTTATAGCAAACTTTAAACATTTCACTAACAATTCAGCATGCCATCTTAAAATTTAAAAGGTCTTCTGGAGAATCATTTAACCCATACTTAATTAAAAATGTGAAGTCTAATTTAATACCTTCTCTCTTAACTCTCTCTAGGCACTCAAAATCATACCACGTATTTTTCTTTTCATAAACAAAGCAACACAAAAAAATCTAAAGTCATCACTAAAGACCAAAAAATCAGTTTGAGTATTGCAAATCAACTAGCTTTCCAATCTACAAGTTACTCTGTTCCTCATCCTCAGATAAGCCATTTGAAGACACAAATTGTTAAGAGACTACCATAACCACTTGTTTGGGAAACTATTTTCAGAGGCTGAGTAGAATGTCCACAGACTGACCTTTTTTATTTTTCCACATATTAAACACTTAATATTTTCCAGAAACTCAACCTTGTATATATATATTTACATAAATGACTGCATCACCTCTTAAGTCTTTGGAGAAAAAAAAATTACCATTCAACAGGAACTACTTTCTTTCTCCTTTGACTATTTTTCACACACATACAAAATCCTATGTTTCATGCAGATTAGTTATTAACATACCACAAAAGGTTCTGTTATTTCTCTTTATGATGTTTAAATAATCTCTACAGCCACTGTGGGGCTTGAACACTGATCAGGAGTCACGTGCTCTACTGACTGAGGCAGCCAGCCACCCCTGTTCTTTTTCTTTTCTTTTTTTTTCTAAAGATTTTATTTATTTATTTGACAGGGATCACAGGTAGGCAGAGAGGCAGGCAGAGAGAGGAGGAAGCAGGCTCCCTGCTGAGCAGAGAGCTGAGCTGAAGGCAGAGGCTTTAACCCACTGAGCCACCCAGGCGCCCCTGTTCTTTTTCTTTAAGACACATGTGTACACACACCTTTTATCATTTGATTTATAAAATTTTGGGGGGGCGCCTGCGTGGCTCAGTCAGTTAAATGTCTGCCATAGGCTCAGGACATGATCCCAGGGTCCTGGGATTGAGCCCTCCATCAGGCTTCCTGCTCAGGGGGACTCTGCTTCTCTCTCTCTCTCTCTCCCTCTCTCTGCTGCTCCCCCTGCTTGTGCTCTGTCAAATAAATACATAAAATATTAAAAAAAAAAAGTCTTTAAAAAATAAAATTCTTCTTACTCAACTATAGGTAAACAAGTAAAAATATTACCAAATACACCGACACTAATTAGCCATCTTTGGTCAATGCCTAATTATTCCAGAGTTCATAATCTACGAATTAGAGTTTTTTAGCACAACTCCTTTCGTTCACTTTATACCTACCAGAAGCTGAACAGCGGAAAGTTCCAACTTTTGCAACTCTAGAATGAGGTTATAAATGGGAGGGGGGGAGGGGGTTACCTGACAGTCGTTTTTTTCAATCTACTTAAGCTCCCAGAGAGACCAAAACACTTAAGTTCCAACATGAGCTTCACATTTCCCTGTATAAAATGTGTTTTCTTAAGGTTCAACCTTTCCAGCTGTAAAAAAGTTTAAAGTATTTCTGAACAGACTAGATCAGTTGCCAAATAACCTCAAGTCTTTAAAAATAAGGCAACATGGACATCGAACCAAAAACAATTCAATCGGCATAAAATAATACAGTATTATAATCAACAATAACAGATAAAGAGCAGTACTACTTAGTGTCGGTCTCTGATTACAAAAGGTAAGCATTACTTTAAAACAGGTGTCTTTAGAAGATCCTACTAGGATCTTTAGCGTCTTTTTTTTCTGATTCTCTCCTATGCTGCCAAAGCTCTGGCTGATCTTTGAGGTGCTGTGACTCAGGGTCCTAACAGCATGGCTTGCGTAGTCGGAACGCGGAACGCGCCACTACAAGGCGCCTACAAGCTTTTATTAACAGAATTTGAATTCTCTCAATCCTCTGACGGCTACTATTGAGCCCCTTCCACTTCCAGTCGCCCCAGCACACTGATTTCCAGCCCTTGGGGAAGCTAGGGCTTCAGACTTACCCCCAAAACGCTTCCTAAATCAAGGTGGAGGCCCGCATTTCCCCGCCCTTCATAAGGCGCACTCGTCAGAGAAACGTTTGGTCTAAGAAAAGAAACCTCATCCTGCCCCACCCAACAGGTGGGAAGGAGAAAGGAATGGACAGCTGGGAGCCGAGGCCAGGCCAGGCCTCAAACAGGGCGGGAGAGGGAGGCCGCAACCCCAGTGCGGCCTGAAACAAGGCAGGCCCCTTCCTGCCCCACGAAATACTGCCCCCCCCCCACTCCGCCCGGCCAATTCCAAAACGCCTGCCCCAGCTGACCTGACGACGGATGCCACTCAATGCCATGAGCCGCAGTCTGGGCCAACCAAGCCGAAGATGGCACTTCCACCGTCTCTGTCCCACAGACACCGCAGCAGCCACCGCCACCACCAGGGCCGCCTCGTCGAGAACAGGCGCGCATGCGTCGGTGCTCCCGGAGGCGAAGGAGTCACGTGGTAACACCGCGTTCAGGCCTCGCCCTCCGCGGGATCCTGAAGCGGGGGGGGGGGGGGGGGGGGGGGCGGGGGCACGCAGCCCCCGCCCCTTCTCCGCCCTCTCGGCTCTGCAGCTTGAAAAGATCGGGCGGCTGTTCCTGATGTTTTTCAGCCCTGTGGGGACTTTCTGAACCAAAAGACAGTGTTTAGGGCCTTTTACATCCTTAATCTTAAACACAGCGCTCCACGCCCTCCAAAGGAAAATACTGTCTTTTGCGGCAAATCTGTTTTTGCAACAATTGCCCAGGTTTTATCCCTTTACCTAAACGTGAGGAGAAATTCAGCCTTAAATCTCTATAACTCGGGATGATACTCTGGGTCCGCTCAGTTTTCTCAAGAGGAAACACTTTAAAAAAAAAAAGGAAATAATAGTGGAAACAAGTTAGGGGCTTGGGAAATTGATCATTACAGAGTTATATGAAATTATCCTCGGGACAAATGAAGGCTGCTTGCACTGACAGTATTAGCAGTCCTCTTCAGTTAGGTTCTCATCCTTTTTTTTTTTAAGATTTTATTTATTTATTTGACAGACAGAAATCACAAGTAGGCAGGGAGGCAGGCAGAGAGAAAGGGAAGCAGATTCCCCGCTGAGCAGAGAGCCCAATGCGGCTTGATCCCAGGACACCTGGATCATGCCAGGAGCTGAAGGCAGAGGCTTTAACCCACTGAGCCACCCAGGCGCCCCCCAATCCTCGCTTAAAAAAAAAAAAATTTTTTTTTTTTTAATCTGGTCTCTCTCTCCTATTTCTGTTAAAAGTTTCCTGAGTTCACCCACCACTTGCCATGCAATCTCTGTTGAAGGTTCAGTAGTATCACAACTGGGTTGCGAGTTCCTCCTTTGGAATCTGATTCCAGAAGTATCTCTGAAGATAACGTTTCCCCTCCACAACGTTGTTAACCCTAAATCCCCTCAATACCACCTTTGCTTCCAAATATCAAAATCAGGGGCTGGCTGGGTGGGAGGAACCTGTGTCTCTTTAACTCAAGGTAAGGAGTGTGAGCCCCAATTTGGAAGTAGAGATTACTTAAATGAATAAATTAAACCCTTAAAAAAATCAGTCTTCTTCAAGTATATGATCTCACTGATATGAGGAATTTGAGGGAGTGGTGTCAGGCGGTGTAGTGGGGAAGGGAGGGAAAAATGAAACAAGATGGGACCACCAAGGGAGACAAAACCATAAGAGATTCAATCTCAGGAAACAAATTGAGGGTTGCTGGAGGGGATGGGAGTGGCCCATAGGGTGGCTGGGTGATGGACATTGGGGAGGTTATGTGTTTGGTGAATGCTATGAATTGTGTAAGGGTGGTGATTCACAGACCTCTACCCCTGAAACAAATAATACATTATATGTTAATATAAAGCCTAGCAGGGACCAAAAAGAAAAAAAATAGTAAGTCTTCTTACTGACTGCAGTTCACTTTCAGCAAACTGCATGTATTTGCAGCTTTCCCTTTCCATTGCTTCTTACTATTGAAGCTAACTTTTGGATTCTCAGTGCAGCTATGCTTTTTACTGGTTTTGTCAGCAACTTTTAGATGTTTACTATGGGGAAGAAACTTAATGGAGTAATCTATTAGGAAGTGACTCTAAGTGCCAGGACTTCTTCACTCCTTTTCTGGTTCTTCCAATCTTTCCTAAACTTATTTCAAATTCTTCATTGGTAAATAAGATTAGTTCTGAGATCCCATCCCCCTCCTATAGTCATTTTATAAAAATCTATCTACTTCTGCATCTTTATTCATTGCTTTTAGTTTTCTACATCTTACCTTTCCAGACAGTGCTCTTGCTCTCTCTCCTGCTGGAAAATGTCCATTAGTTTTCCTCCATAAATCTCTTGTCGTTATGGATCTGCTTTTTGGAGAACCCAGACTAACACAAAAACTAACCAACATAAATGTTAAATTTAATGCGATGTGTTTTCTCCTAATTGATTCCATTACCTCCCATATGTCAGTGATTTATGCAATGGACATTTTTAATTTGTTTTAGTTCTTTGGGACATCTCCTCTTTCTGAAGTAGAGAGCCTACATCCCACTATAGAAGCTAAAACTACCTGATACTTACTTTCCTAGTCCCCCTCCTCCACCACACACACACACACACACACTCTCATAGAGACATGAACACATGGCTTGTAGGACTGACATCCAATGTGGCAGTGTGTCATATCAGTGGGGTGATATGGTGGCTGTCTTCTGTAATACTAGCAGGCTAGTGGACTAGCTCTGCAACGCAGACCAGCTCTGCAACACAAGGTATACATTCTTATTAGCTAGCTAGCCTCCCAGTCTCATAGAACTCTGGGACACCAGATTTTTTATAAAGCTTTCTTTTGTTTAAATTAGGCATATATAGTTAGTTAGTTAGTTAGTTAGTTGTATTTGTTGGTAAATAAGACTTGTGATACGAGTTCCAAGAACCATTGCAGATAACAGACCCTCAGGGAAATAGAAACAAGTTGGATTAGTCCTAACCAGGGCTGAGAAACCAGTAAAAATCTAGCTGGTACCAAAAGAAGTCCTTCTGGTGTTTATGGAACACAGTGCACACAGTACACATATGATATAAAATGATTAACTATATATGATATAAAATGATTAAGTTCCACGGGTATAATGATATACCCATGGAAGGCAGTTTTGGGCTAAAGTGTGGGGTAGAATTTTTATTTATACTAACACTGGAGAGCTTAAAAGAGAATGACGAAATGAGATTTCTAAATTCTTAGCTTGAAGTAGGAATCAAAAATTAAGGACTTCCTCTGATAATAACAAAAGAATTTATTCTTTGCAGCCATGGGGCTAAAAGAGCCAAACCCTCAAAGTTGGGGCCCATAGGTTGCCAAATTACAAAGTTAGTTGAATTCATAGTCTTGTCAGAACACTTCTGTGAAGATTAAGGCATTGTTCAAGAAAGAGCAGAACCAAAGAAGTGAAATGGGCATGTGGTAGAATTCAAATAACTCAAATGCCCTTAACTCATTACTTTTAACTGAACCTCATTCAACAAACAAAAGCAGCCCCTACTCACTGGACTGAAAAGACTGTTTCTGCCTTACGTGGAAATCTGTATAGATATCACCTAATCTGTAGAGCTTTCACTTTGCATGAAGAGGCCAATTTTTCTTATTCCCCATTTCCGACACATACCATTTTTTCTAAACATATATAACATCAAACTTGTATAGCAAGATGTATAGCAAGACAGTTGAAACTTTACAAATTTATGTTGACAATAATATGAAGAATACAGGAGAAAATTCTTTGAGTGCTAGACTGAGGAGGAAATGATTTTAAAGTATATATATGTAATATATATATATATTTGTAATATTATATATTAACATATACATATATATGTATAAATTCAATATGCTAGCTTAAACAGTCAGTCAGGCACAGTTTTAACAGTTTGTTCTGTAGGCGTGCTGGCATGAACTATTCATGAACAACTTTCTACTCACCTATAACTCTGTATCCTAGAAGTGCCAGGTACACTACCTTCACCAAGATTAATAAATACACAGGTGAAGGGACAGTCAGCAACTTTGGAAAGTGTTACAGTCTCCAACTTATGATGGCTCAACTTAACAATTTTTCAAAGTGGCTCAAGAGTGATTAACCACACAGCCAACTTGATCACAAGGATAAACGACAAATACACTTAAAACCGTTCTGTACCCATGTAACCATTCTGTTTTTCACTTTCAGTATGGTATTCAATAAATTTCATGAGATATTTAACACTTTATTATAAAATGGGCTTTGTGTTAGATGATTTGCCCAATTATAGGCTGCCCAATTATAGTGTTCTGAGCATATTTTTTAAAAAATATTTTATTTATTTATTTGTCAGAGAGAAGGAGAGAGAGCGAGAGCACACAAGCAGGCAGAGATGCAGGCAGAGGCAGAGAGAGAAGCAGGCTCCCCGCCGAGCAAGGAGAGCCCATGCGGGACTCGATTCCAGGACCCCGGGATCATGACCTGAACTGAAGGCAGCCACTTAACCCACTGAGCCACCCAGGTGTCCCTGTTCTGAGCATATTTAAGTTAGACTTGGCTAAGCTATGATGTTTGGTAGGGTAGGTGTATTAAATGCATTTTTTTCTTTTTTTTTTTTTAATATTTTATTCATTTGGGGGTGCCTGGGTGGCTCAGTCCTTAAACGTCTGCCTTCGGGCTGTCTCAGGCCCCGCAAAAGCCTGCTTCTTCCTCTCCCACTCGCCCTGCTTGTGTTGCCTCTCTCGCTGTGTCTCTGTCAAACAAATAAATAAAATCTTAAAAAAAAAAAGATGTCATTCATTTATTTGATAGAGAGGGAGAATGCACAAACAGGAGGAGCTGTAGGCAGAGAGGGAGAAGCAGGCTCTCCAATGAGCAGGGAACCCAATGTGGGCTCAATCCCAGGATCCTAGGACCTGAGCCTAAAGCAGACACTTAACAGAGTTAATCTGTGGTTCATCAGATAGAAGGGGGGCTTACAGAATACGGCAGATACTATAGGCTGGCTCAGTCATAACTCTTCCAACTGAAATTTCTATTACCTTGTCTACTACTGAGACTAGGAGATGAAATACTCAATTTTTTAGCTTCCCTTCAATCTAAGGGCAGTCAATGAGATGTAGCTGGAAGTAGATAAAAATGGCCTCTTTTCCTAAATAAAAAGGCAGAACCTCTAGAAATACTCACCAGTGTTACAAACTTCATTAATTTTTGATTCCCCTATCCTCCAAATCTGTGTCATCAATTAAGTCAATCCTATCAATAGCTTTCAAATCCATTTTCAGTTCTCACTGCTT